ACACAACATGATTGAGACAGGGGAAAAAATTATGATATCCAAACTTAATAACAATACTTGAATAACACACATAATGTGATTTGGATCAGATCCATGTGCAGGTGTTTCATCAACAAAGTAAACATAGATTGAAGTGGAAGTCAGACAAAGGATGCTTGAAAAATACTTTGCATTAGTCAAACTACGTTAATGGGGATTCTGGGAAGGGTTTGCATTTCAAGTAACCACACTTGCCAACTTGAAGGGCCAAAGTCTTATTGCCTAATAGAATCTTGCCATCTCACTAGCCTCCTCTGTGAGATGAGACCAGATTAAAATCAGACATTCACACATTGAAATAAAATAAAAAACACTACACAGCCACACCTGTTGACTTTCTATTCTTGGGGTTTTGCTCCACATCATACTGGAATAACTGGCAACATATCTACAACTATGATAACTAAACTACAGGTCATACTAAACTAGAACTAAACAGGATGCTGGTAACGTTACAGGATGCAGCTACTGTCTGAAAGTAACTGTTCCCAAAACTGCTGTAAACATCTGAAGTCAACAGCTGTCACAGTCAAGAACAGGCATGCCCACTCCCCAGCAACAATGCGCAATAGCTATCCCAACATAAATGTAGGCAACTAATAATACAATGTTGCATGACAAAAGACAAATAGCGTAGACAATAGAAAACTCAGACACGTCATTGTTGAAAATTAAGGACGGTATCTTTCATTTAAGCCATGTAAAGAGCGGAAAAGTTCCTCCCCTCCCGCAGCTCGTCCACCGAAATCGAATCCTGATGCGCTTCGTTGAGCCAGTGGTAAATGTATCAACAAATAATTTAATCTTACCCTTATATTGCAGTGAGGTACCACTTGTAATTTTCACAGTTCCACTTATGGATTCGCCAGGGCTGTAGACCACTTTGTTGTTGGTAAAAGTAATATCGAATTCCTGAAGCTTGCCCATGACTCCGCTATCTTCCGCGTCTCACAACAAAAACCCGAGTATGGTTCGGTCTACCGCCGCCTATGGAAGCTGAACAGCGCTATCTCAAAGATGGTGGATAAATAAAAATGTCCTATTGAGGCCGTTTACCATTGACAAAATGGTTAGCCGGTCTACTTAACGGGGTGGCTCTTCCCCATATGCACCAATGCGATAGCAGCTGGGTCTAGTCGGCTTAGTTTATTGACTGTAATGTAAACAGAAAAACGAGATAGTGGGATGTCTCGCTTCCTCTTCCGTCTCTGGCTCTCTAGTCCCACCTGCAACACGCACTCCACCGTGTTTTCAAGAGCATCAAGAGCATCAAGAGCAGTGACGTCATTACGAAAATATGTATTATATTCAAGTGTATTTTGTTATATTTGTTGTTAAAGTAACATATATATATATATATATATAATATTTAAAAAATATTCAAGGTTGGTAGTCTACTCTTTCATAACTAGCCACATAATGTAAATATTATGTTATTCAGGCCTTTGTGTTTAGGTCATCTTGGTATATTCACAGTACACCTCCCAGTGGAGATACTATAATAACACTGGAATAACTACAGTACACATTACACTGCCCAACATGGGCATCTGTTGTAATTATTGTAATTATTTTGCACTATGGCCTATTTATTGCCCTACCTCCATAACTTACTACATTTGCACACACTGTATATAGATTTTATATTGTGTTTTTGACTGTACGTTTTGTTTATCCCATATGTAACTCTGTGTTGTTGTTGTTTTTATCGCACTGCTTTGCTTTATCTTGGCCAGGTCGCAGTTGTAAATGAGAACTTGTTCTCAACTGGCTTACCTGGTTAAATAAAGGTGAAATAAAAAAAGTAAAAAACAAATCTGCAATTTTCTATATTGCTAAAATATGCTCTTTTGCAGACATTCAGCCATTGATTGAGTTGGACCATACATTCACTGAATTACAGGAAGGATGCATCAATCACTGGATGGTGGGTTACCCCTCTGTTCACCCATCTCCACCTCCACCCTCACCTCAATAGAAAATGGTAGACAGCAGGGCACTCCCCATCTCCAGATCGAGAGTAGCTACGTGCTGCTGACATCAGCGATTTGTCCCACTCAGAAAGGATGGCTGATCAGAGCAGGGGTAGGCAACCCTGTTCCTGGAGTGCTGCAGATATTCAGTGATTGACTATTTTCCTGGTTTTCCAGATTGGTTAAATCAAAAACATGAAGTGACTGCGGCACTCCAGGACCAGTGTTGCCTACCCCCGGAGCAAAGGAATGTGACAGTTTATAGCTCTCAGCTCTCAGAGAAAAGAATGAGAATGAGCTCCCAAGCTAAAGTGGGAAGGGGACTTCTGTTCCCAAATGAGGAGCTAGTTGTTCCCCGTTTAAGCTGAGCCGGTACTTTATCTGCCCTTATTGCTTTAATAGTGCTTAGTAAGGTGATATATTAAAGTGCAAGCTCGTGAAACATACAGTTATTGCATTTACACACACACACACAAGTGCATGTACACACTTGTACACACACACACACACACAAGCTTGTGTGTGTGTGTGTGTCAGAGAGAGAGAAGAAGAAAGAAAGAAAGAAAGAAAGAAAGAAAGAAAGAAAGAAAGAAAGAAAGAAAGAAAGAAAGAAAGAAAGAAAGAAAGAAAGAAAGAAAGAAAGAAAGAAAGAAAGAAAGAAAGAAAGAAAGCAAAAGAGAGCGAGAGAGGGATAGAGAGAGACAATGACCCAGTTATTACTTACAAAAAAAGCAGAGTACATCACATGCATTGAGACAGATACTTCCATGACAACAGACAGACACGGTAGTTGCCAAATTACTGCCAGTATCCATGGAAATGGCTCTGATTTTGTCTGAATAAGTATTTAATTTTGAAGCAGCATGTTGTATATGCCTCCAGGTTGCTGATTCACTGTAGGTTCAGACGCCTGTAGAGGTAGCTGAAATTACCCTCTTTGACAGTCAATCCACCTCTATTACTGAATTTATGAGCCATTTTCAAATGCATAGGATACATCAATTCATGTAAACGTGATGCCAGCAACAGTCCATAGCCACATGAAATGGCACTGAAGGTGTAGATGGAAGTAACACCAGCATATAGAGGCATTCAGGACTTGAAATCAGTAGCCCACGTCATATCCTCCTGAGACCCAGCAATTCATTTTTGTCCTCTCTAGTGGACATCAGTTCTTGGTCCGTATCTCAGATGCCATACAAGCCACTGTATTAAGCCCTGTTGTCCCTTTGAGAGGACATTCTGGGCTTTTCAATGATATCACGTGTGGGGGTGTGACCTTGACCACTTTCTTCCTGCTGGCTGCTGTCAAAATTAGCACATTTTATGGAAATTTGAAAAGAAGTGTGTGTAATTATTAATTATCATTTTTGTGAGTTTGACATTCAAATTGTTTCTAATAAGTGAATATCTCAGGAATAGTTAAGTGAGTTGTCAGGACGGTGTAATACTTTTTTCACATTAAATAAGAGCTAAGTAAGATCTTATCAAGAAATGTCCTCTGTAACTATGCCGCAACTATGTTTTTCACCTACTGTACCCATTGACTGTAATGTTAATATTTACGTTTTAATATTTACGTCCTAATGACCACTACAGAGGACAATTTTTCCACTCCAAACACTAAATCCATACACATCATTGAACAACGCAGCAGTAAATGTCTATAAACTGGTTGCATAATACATGGGTTTACCTGATTTGGACCTAGTAGGTGTCTGGATGAGGATGTTCAGTGTAAAATCCTCCTGAGACCCCCCAAAAGAGTTGGGTATTATTATATATATTTTAACCACAAGCGTAGTACCACCAGCAGTTTGAACCAACATTCAAATTGTATGCATGATGGTTGTTAAATTGGTCCCAGATTCAGCTAAGTTCAGCATATACATAGACAGCGTTTACACTAATATATTAGGGTTATGGCTAGGGTAAGGTAGTTTGGTGCCAGTATCTTTAGCTAAAATTCCACTCCTTGTCATTGCCAAAGAGACTGGCCAGGGTTATTATGGTTAGGGTTGAGCCAGGATTTGGACAGGAAGCTAGGGTAAGGGTTGAGCCAGGGTGTGGACAGGAAGCTAGGGTTAAGGCTAAGGTTAGGGTTGAACCAGGGTGTGAACATAAGACGATAGGAAAGTATGGAGAAACATGGCAGATGACAGTGAGCAGGGCTCCTCCACCTCTGAATTCCCAATTCAACCCCTGATGATGACAAATTAATTTAGACATTTTACAGACGCTCATATCCAGAGTGCATACATTTTTTTTCCCATACTGGCCCCCCGTGGGAATCAAACCCACAACCCTGGCGTTGCAAGCGCCATGCTTTACCAACTGAGCTACACGGGGCCACAAATTCATGATGCCAAACTAAAGCAATACCATTCCATGACCATTCAAGGCAGCCTTTGTCAATGGGTGAGATGCAGTATGGCTTGACGTGTTGTGGTGTGTGTTTTTTAACCACAGCTGACTTGTTGGTGATAAATAAGCTAACCTAATTCAATGCATTTATAGTCTTATTTGACTGGTTGTCATGTGCTGTCAATATATTAAAATAGTTTACAATCAAAGGTTAATGTGAGTTCATCGTGCTACTCATTTTATTGTCATTCATGTCCAGTATGAGGGGTGACAATCAAAACTTGCATCATGGTTCCACCTAGTGGTGATTTTAAAGAACATGCGGCTCATATTCAAGTCAGCGCCTCTTTATTTCATCTAAATTTCAGACAAACATTAGACTGAATAATATGCTAATTGGACCAGCTGTAATCTGAAAGATGGAAAACTATAATTGACCTTCATAAACATTCAACCTACATTCAAGTAATGACTCTTCAAAGTCAGCAAAACAAAAAACATCAACAAGTATTCTTAACTACAGATTGCTTTGGCTACAATATAGTTCTATCCTACAATCATGTAAACCCTAAGGGCCAGGAACCAGCAGCTACAGTACCATACTGTATGAGTCTGGTCACTCTCTCATGTACTCTCCTCTTTCTCCTCCACCCCGAGCAGACAGATGCTTGTGATGGCGCCCATAATGGCATAAGGGTCACAGCTGGCGGAGGGCTGACGGTCTTCAATGTATTCCTTCCCCTCCTGGCCCACCTGCCGTGGGATCTGGATGCTGGCCCCGTGGTTGGCCACCCCGGCATAGAAGTCGCAGATGCTGGAGGTTTCATGGAATCCTGTGAGGCGTCTGATGTTGTCCTGGCCTCCGCGAGGGTTGTACACAAGGATGTGCTAGGCCTGTCGCTTGCTTAGCTTCTCAATGGCCTGCTCAATATGTCTGTTAGAAGAGGGGATGGTTGGGTATTGGACTGAATCTTGTAGTTATACAGCCTTACTGAATCTTACAGTGCAATAATGTTTTTACAGCAATACTCACTGCAGCCCGCCTTCTTCCCTCATCTCCTTGGTGCTGACGTTGGTGTGGCAGCTTGCCCCTTTTCACTTCATTGGTTTGGGGTCCAGAGTTGTGACAACTCCTTACAGTCTTCACACACGGTGCAGCAGAAAGCGTGCCATCCACAGGTGGTCTCCCATCTTTATCCCCTCACACGGACCCACCTGGAGCTCCCACTGAGAGAGAAAAGAAGAAAAGTTGGGAAATATTATATTGCCATCTGTAGAACCTTCCTGAAAGACTTGTTATACAGCATTGTAGCAAAAGGTCAAAGTTTACCTGAGCCGGCATGACCTCAACATTGGTGCCACAGATTTTGACCCCAGAATAGAGACATGCCTTGTAGTGACACTCCACAATGTTCCTGCCATAGGTATTGTCTGCACCAACCCCACAGTAGTATGGACCTGAGAGGCCTATTTGATAACATTACGATTTTATTTAGACATATAGATAGAGCTAGATTTAATATATGTAGTGCTTCTCCGAGTGCTCAAGACCATTTACATGATGAAATTAACAAGGACACATATAATAATACAGGTATAATACAGTAGGGTCAGTCACCTTGGGGACCTGGGAATCCATTTTGGGGCCAGCCATAGGGGCGACCATCCATCCCTAGGAGAGTGTACTCCTGCTCCATTCAAAACCAGGGGATAGAGTCCTTCACCTTCTTACAGCCTGAAAGCATGTTACACTCTGTAGAGGAGAGAATAGGCATACTGTAGGGTTAGTTTGATTGACAGGGAAATATTAGACAGTCAAAGCCTACAGGCTGCTGTCTATCATAGACCAAAACCAGTTGGTCTGTGTCAACTGAAGTAGAAAAATAATCTCTAGCAGTCACATTTTCTTTGACAAGTACCTGCAGGCAAGCGGTTGTACTTAAGGACCTCACACAGGACCAGTTTGTTGGGTGACAGGGTGAAATGGTCCCTGAACATAGCCACTGGGATCAGGTACCTGTCACTGTTGGATACCTGGACCTGGTAGGTGCCGGAGCCATCAAAGTTCTGCCAATATCAATTTCAACATTAACATCATGAAATGTAATGCACTGTACTATTGATATAATGTTCTGTGAGATGGGCCTAATGCTTTGGGCTTGATGAAGCAAACAAAAGTGGTCTGGTAAGTTACCTTCTATTCCCTGGGGCTCTCTGTCCAGGATACGAGTCTTGTTCCTCAGCCCCTCCCCGGAGCCATCGATCCAGATGTAGGTAATGTGGCACAGGTCCCCTTGAGGGAAGGACAGGTAGTGCTGATTGATGGCCTTGTTTAGATGAGAGCTGACTGACACAGATGCCATGGCTTAGAGTCTAAGGGGGTTAAAATGACAGAGAAAAAGATACTTGAGAACACATGCTGTATAGTGCAGCAGGTAATTCCTCATGGTTGTTTCATCAGACGGTGTCATCAGGAAGTGTTGCACAAGACCATGTTTTGTATTGTTATTCATGTACCATTCCATTCACTTGTCCTCTATGCGAATTAGAATTGAACACATTTTCATTTCACAAAATGTATTTAGATCCCAATCTTTTGATGGGACAAATCCTTTGATGCACCCAAAGCCGGGTGGATTTCGGTTGCTTTCAGCAGCATTTCAACCATACAGGTCTTTGTGTTTGTCTAAAAACAGCAGTGGCTAAACAACAGTAAGACTATAGGTCACCTATCCACCTCTACCTCTGTATAAACAAACCACTAAAGCCAAATGGGTGATTGTCAGTAGCATAATCAAACAACAAGAAAAAGCATAAATGCACGACCCCTCTAAAAACAAACAAAACATTCAGAATCTGAATGCTGTGATGGATACACTATAAAGGGGTTACTGTGAATTTTACAGTGGCTTACAGGCAGCTCGGTGGCAAGTCAAATTCTGTATTTCATATTACAGTACACATACTGTAATATAAATACGGTATCAAAGCAAGTAATGTGTAATGACACACAATAAAATACCGTAAAATTGACGGTATTATACTGTAGAAAAGTAAATGCTATCATATTCGGAATGAATGAATGGAAGGATGAATGAAATTAATTGAGCGGAGGGGTTTGTATTTAGGTAAAGTGTTTACACATAACAATATATTACTGAATATTTGGTGTTTTATATCACTTGCAGTTCTACAGGCCTTAACAAAGGCTTCCAAACTGGCAGCGACTACAGGACAAAACAGACCAAAGGATATGGCAAAATGCTCAACCATTTAAGGTTTAAGACTTGCTGCCACTCCAATCTGTACCCTAAACAAATTGATGGGGCACTATAACCACATAGGAGTTAAATTGGTACAGGATTCTCACTCATGGGTGCAACAAATACAGCCTCTTCCAAGGCACACGCAAGCCTCAAAATATGTTAATTAACCATAAACCACAATACTATTTACATTGACGTCATTTAGCAGACGCTCTTATCCAGAGCGACTTACAAATTGGTGCATTCACCTTATGATAGCCAGTGGGACAACCACATTACAATAGTTTTTTTTTTTTTTTTTTTTGAGGTGGGGTAAGGGGGGGTAGAAGGATTACTTTATCCTATCCCAGGTATTCCTTAAAGAGGTGGGGTTTCAAGTTTCTCCGGAAGGTGGTGAGTGACTCCGCTGTCCTGGCGTCGTGAGGGAGCTTGTTCCACCATTGGGGTGACAGAGCAGCAAACAGTTTTGACTGGGCTGAGCGGGAACTGTACTTCCGCAGAGGTAGGGGAGCCAGCAGGCCAGAGGTGGATGAACGTAGTGCCCTCGTTTGGGTGTAGGGACTGATCAGAACCTGAAGGTACGGAGGTGCCATTCCCCTCACAGCTCCGTAGGCAAGCACCATGGTCTTGTAGCAGATGCGAGCTTCAACTGGAAGCCAGTGGAGTGTGCGGAGGAGCGGGGTGATGTGAGAGAACTTGGGAAGGTCGAACACCAGACGGGCTGCGGCGTTCTGGATGAGTTGTAGGGGTTTAATGGCACAGGGAGGGAGCCCAGCCAGCAGCGAGTTGCAGTAATCCAGACGGGAGATGACAAGTGCCTGGATTAGGACCTGTGCCGATTCCTGTGTAAGGCAGGGTCGTACTCTGCGAATGTTGTAGAGCATGAACCTACAGGATCGGGTCACCGCCTTGATGTTAGTGGAGAACAACAGGGTGTTGTCCAGGGTCACGCCAAGGCTCTTTGCACTCTGGGAGGAGGACACAACGGAGTTGTCAACCGTGATGGCGAGATCATGGAACGGGCAGTCCTTCCCCGGGAGGAAGAGCAGCTCCGTCATGCCGAGGTTCAGCTTGAGGTGGTGATCCGTCATCCACACTGATATGTCTGCCAGACATGCAGAGATGCAATTCGCCACCTGGTTATCAGAAGGGGGAAAGGAGAAGATTAATTGTGTGTCGTCTGCGTAGCAATGATAGGAAAGGCCATGTGAGGATTTGACAGAGCCAAGTGACTTGGTGTATAGCGAGAATAGGAGAGGGCCTAGAACTGAGCCCTGGGGGACACCAGTGGTGAGAGCACGTGGTGCGGAGACAGATTCTCGCCACGCCACCTGGTAGGAGCGACCTGTCAGGTAGGATGCAATCCAAGAGTGAGCCGCGCCGGAGATGCCCAACTCGGAGAGGGTGGAGAGGAGGATCTGGTGGTTCACAGTATCAAAGGCAGCAGATAGGTCTAGAAGGATGAGAGCAGAGGAGAGAGAGTTAGCTTTAGCAGTGCGGAGAGCCTCCGTGACACAGAGAAGAGCAGTCTCAGTTGAATGACCAATCTTGAAACCTGACTGGTTTGGATCAAGGTCATTCTGAGAGAGATAGCAAGAGAGTTGGCTAAAGACGGCACGCTCAAGAGTTTTGGAGAGAAAAGAAAGAAGGGATACTGGTCTGTAGTTGTTGACATTGAAGGGATCGAGTGTAGGTTTTTTGAGAAGGGGTGCAACTCTCGCTCTCTTGAAGACGGAAGGGACATAGCCAGCGGTCAAGGATGAGTTGATGAGCGAGGTGAGGTAAGGGAGAAGGTCTCCGGAAATGGCCTGGAGAAGAGAGGAGGGGATAGGGTCAAGCGGGCAGGTTGTTGGGCGGCCGGCCGTCACAAGTAGCAAGATTTCATCTGGAGAGAGAGGGGAGAAAGAAGTCAAAGCATAGGGTAGGGCAGTGTGAGCAGGACCAGCGGTGTCATTTGACTTAACAAACGAGGATCGGATGTCGTCAACCTTCTTTTCAAAATGGTTGACGAAGTCATCCACAGAGAGGGAGGAGGGGGGGGGGGGGGGGGGGAGGAGGATTCAGCAGGGAGGAGAAGGTGGCAAAGAGCTTCCTAGGGTTAGAGGCAGATGCTTGGAATTTAGAGTGGTAGAAAGTGGCTTTAGCAGCAGAAACAGAGGAAGAAAATGTAGAGAGGAGGGAGTGAAAAGATGCCAGGTCCGCAGGGAGTCTAGTTTTCCTCCATTTCCGCTCGGCTGCCCGGAGCCCTGTTCTGTGAGCTCGCAATGAGTCGTCAAGCCACGGAGCAGGAGGGGAGGACCGAGCCGGCCGGGAGGATAGGTGACATAGAGAGTCAAAGGATGCAGAAAGGGAGGGGAGGAGGGTTGAGGAGGCAGAATCAGGAGATTGGAGGGAGAAGGTTGAGCAGAGGGAAGAGATGATAGGATGGAAGAGGAGAGAGTAGCGGGAGAGAGAGAGCGAAGGTTGCGACGACGTATTACCATCTGAGTAGGGGCAGAGTGAGTAGTGTTGGAGGAGAGCGAGAGAGAAAATGATACAAAGTAGTGGTCTGAGACTTGGAGGGGAGTTGCAGTGAGATTAGTAGAAGAACAGCATCTAGTAAAGATGAGGTCAAGCGTATTGCCTGCCTTGTGAGTAGGGGGGGATGGTGAGAGGGTGAGGTCAAAAGAGGAGAGGAATGGAAAGAAGGAGGCAGAGAGAAATGAGTCAAAGGTAGACGTAGGGAGGTTAAAGTCACCCAGAACTTTGAGGGGTGAGCCATCCTCAGGAAAGGAACTTATCAAGGCGTCAAGCTCATTGATGAACTCTCCAAGGGAACCTGGAGGGCGATAAATGACAAGGATGTTAAGCTTGAATGGGCTAGTGACTGTGACAGCATGGAATTCAAATGAGGAGATAGACAGATGGGTCAGGGGAGAAAGAGAGAATGTCCACTTGGGAGAGATGAGGATTCCTGTGCCACCACCCCGCTGACCAGATGCTCTCGGGGTATGCGAGAACACATGGTCAGACGAGGAGAGAGTAGTAGGAGCAGTAGGAGTAGCAGTGACCCACTAGTGGTCAAAAGGTTTTTGGCGCTCTAAAGGTATGATACGTTACTGTATTCTGTGGGGTGGAATTACAGTACCATTCGTAATACAGCAATTCTTTCCCTGCACATATTTTCCCACAATGCACCATAATTTACAGTATGCTGCAGTAAAGTACAGAGTATTTTACTGTTGATAATACCCAAAATTACTGTATAATTGACAGTTTTCCGTTACAGTGTAGACATACAGTGCAGAAAGTAAAGGCATACAAAATAAACCTGCACACTGTTGTATTCTCCCAAATATCTTATTTTACTAGGACAATCATGTTTTGTCAATGGGTCTTCATCAAAAATCACTTTAACAAAATGTATCATTTGGGAGCACACAACGGTATTTGTGAGTTTTATTTTGTTTACATTGAACAATTTGCTCTACCTGACACCTGGTACGTTTATCTGGATGTGCACACATTAAAGGAATGTAAAGCATGTCCTCCCACTGGGCACAGCCCCCCCCCCCTTTTGGGGCGATTTCAGTCAGGTTGAAAATCGCCCAGAAGTCTGTCATAGACTCCCATGTAAAATCTATTTTTTTCAAATATCAGAGCTTTCAATACAATCTCTATGGGTTTCTGAGGGCTTGCACTTACGCGCTTTCGTCATACGTAACATAACCATGAACGTAACTAAGAAAAGAGCGGGTAGCCTCATCAATCAATTCACTACTACTGTGAAAATGGCTAGGCTTCAGTGCAACTCGATT